GGTTGACATGGATATTAAGGGTACAGGGCTTTAACATATTTTCCAATGTGTGTGATACTTCAGCCATGTTCGGTACATGCTTCCAATTGGAAGAAATGACATATTTTAGAAGATACAACGTGGCATTAAATATCTGCATATCTGTGAATACAGAAAAACTTGATTTGTATCCGTTCTGAAATGGAATAAATCAACATATCTATTCCCTGCTTTTGCTTATTTATCTCATGATACTCAAAAGCCTAGAAGCAGATTTGTTTAAATGACGGAAATATTTCCATCCTACAGTTTCTTTTTTGCTCCTTAGCTCTTTCAATTCTTGCATGTTACAGATGTTGTTAAAACAAAGTCGTCTTAGCCTTGAAAATGCCTTTTGCCTATGCTTCATGAATTTTGGATTTTAAACCAACTTTAAATACAACAGCAGCAAACACAAAGATTAGTTTACCTACCATGTGCTAACCTCATGCTGCATTCTGCTGGTAAATACCATCCATCTATGCTCCCAGTAAGGGTCCGGGGACTGGGGCTATCCCAGCGGTCATCAGACAAGGGGCTGATGACAACCATAAACAGTCACATTTACTGGCAGGGGCAGTCCGGGGGGGTTTGTAAACCAGCAGAAGAATTTTAGATAGCTAATTTGACACATATGATGCAATGTAAATAAGACTTTACTGCTATGAGATACTATGGGCCTTGTTTAGTATGATCATGTGAAATAATGAAATAGAGAGAAGTGAGGTAAATGACCCTTCTGTTATATCGTTTACTTTACTGTATTTCCACCCAGCTGTTGTTATTCTTACGTTTGGTATTAGGATACAAAAAGGGAACTTTATGACCTGTGCTTGAACTTCTCTAGGGCTGCTTCTAGGCTTATAACAACATAAAAAAAACATTTAAAAAGAATCAATGCCTTGAATCAGGGCCTAATAATTTGCTACCATACTTGTAGGTCTGTTTCTTATTTTGGTATTCCACCAAGTGTTCGGGACTAAAGAGAGATAAGATAAGAGAAGACATTAACTCTTTGCCACAATAGCCATCTACACCATTTAACAGTGCTTTCACGCTTAAGGCATTCAGTGTGGTATTAAAATTAATAGTGGTACACTGAGCCAACATGATGGCACTCAGGCTCATTAAGCATCCTAATACTTTTTAAAGATATAATGGCAAGAAGGTACCAGACAAGGGCAAAAAATGTTCTCATGGTGACTTGACTTCCAGACACAAATCTGACAGATGACACCATAACTTTTATATAAAATATGGGGTATAAAACATAAAAAATAATATCTGTCAGGGATATGTTGAATTTTGGGACAATTCCAAGTCACTGTACAAAAGATTACTGAGAAAGAACAGAAGCAGGAACTATGTATTTATTATCTCTTACTTAGGATAAAATCTAATTATGACTTTGTAGGTAAGCGTGTATAATTTTATCCAAAAATTACTTCCAGATGTCAAGTGTGCACACCCTCAGGATTGACTGTGTACTTGGTGTTTCTCAAAAGCTGAACATGTTGCAACTATGTTGGGATCTTGATGGAAAATAGAATAATCCAATCACAGGTTTCCATTTGTGGTTTCACTGTTCAAGATCAAGTTTTCAGCATCGAGGGATGCTTTCAGTCCACATGAAATAGAAGGTTTCATTCAGTCTTATGGGAAATCTGACTTTGTATAAATACAGTCTGTTAATCTAAATGTCATAAATGAAAAATAGTTTCTTTCTATATGGAAATTTTTCAGAACAGTGCCAACACTCCAGTTTCCTTGTTAAATGAAAACACATTATACAAAATAAATGTTTTGAGTAAATCAAGTTCAAACATCCATAATTATTGCTTTTGGAGCTGCATTTGATCTAGTTGTTATGCTCCACAGAGTGAAGGAGAATTGATTGCTGGATTGAATATGTTTTTAATAAATGATAATTAATGAAAAAAACTGTCTCTTTAGATTTGAGGTTCTATTAAAAATGAGAATAATATTACAATAGCCTCAGTTGTCTTTTATATATATATATATATGAATATTTAAATATATGTGTGTATATATACAAAAAAAGCAGAGAAATAGAATAAATGGTGATGTTGTAGAATAGAAATTAACTCTTAAAAACACACGTTTAGTCAGTTGTTTAACAAGCACTGAAACCTCAAGTCCTTAGATATAGCATATCTAATGTTAACCTTCCAACTGATTAACATTTTTTCCATAAAGGTTTCACAAAAACAAACAAAAAAACTCTGTTTCATAACCATTTTTGTGATCATGTACACACTAAAAGCAGAGAGTGTTGGGTGAAAGAACCGAAATCAATGCGTTTCATTTTCTAAGATTTTCACAAATGGCCTGGAGACTGTGTTGTAATTTGATGTGCGTCAAAGGCAAGTTCCTATTATGTGTTACAACTTTAACCCTTTTTTTTTTTACCATCCCTGTGTTGCAGAAATCAAAAGGTGGCACGAAAACAGCAGATTGCAAAAGACAGATTTCATTTGCTCTAGCCTCAGGTGATATCAAGATGTTTTTTTTTAAGAGCTCATTAACTGCAGAAAGGTACATAGCTTTAATTTGAACAAAATAGTTAGTCCAGACAAAATTCAATGGCAAGAATAAAAAGAAATAACAGCATTGGTGTGATAACTTAACAGTTTTGAGTCGACATGACACACACATTATCGAAGTGTGTAATTATCTGATTATAAGAAGCATGCTACTTATGCACATCTATAGAAATCATAGAAGCTTCGGAAGCTATCTGAACAAAGCTGTCTATGCAAATGGTTGATGCTGCAAATCGAAGGAGAATTAACAATATTGATTTGAATAGCTTTCATTTGCAAGTCAAAACTGATTTGCTAAGAAAGCACCAACAACTTTAGAGTGACCTGTAAAACTATTGATGAAGAGTTCAGAAAAATGTCCTGGAGATCCAACTGATCGATGCTTATTTCAGTTTCCCCAGGTTGTCAGAAGCAGTGATCTAAACTAGAGGAACATAATTGGTTCCTGCTGAGGATATTTAGCAGTTTCATCACATTTGAGACATCAATAAAGGTTCACAGCTTGTATGAAAGATATGACTTCTTTTTGTCATGTATGAAAGAAACCCACATGATTTCAGCCCTTATTTACTGTAAAATAGGTCAGCTCCCATAAATAAAAAAACTGTCGGAGTTCTTGCAAAATGAAATGAGTTCATCTATTCTTAATAGCAGGGAATTTGTTGCTACCTGTAAAAAACTATGGGTCGCCAATAAACGAGGCTTGCCAATGTCGACCTTGGTATACCTTATTAGACTTCAGGTTGTTTTATAATCCAGGTTACCATTTGTCATTGTCTATACTCCCATGGTAATATGTGACCACTGACCAAAACTGTTTCTGAGCCACGGAAACATGATCAGTCTCACAATATTGCAGGGAAAACACACATAGATGTTTGTATTCCCTATTTGTTATTAACAGAAGCCCTGGTTACCATCTACATGGTACCATCTACACATTTTGTTATTATCGCTTTCAAAGATAATTCATGTCTGTAATATGAGACATTATTGGCAGAAAAAGCCCCCAAAATAATTATGACATCAACTGGTGCTTTCATGATTTGAATAAAGCCAATAAGACGCTGTCAAGGATTACCTTGAAAATAACAGCTTGGAACAAAATGCTACTGCAAATTAAGGTTACAAATTAAGCAAAAATACTGCTCCCTTATATTTTCACTTTGAGTGTTTTTGTCTATCGTGGTGTTTTATGCACCACCTGGGCTGCTCGAGTCATACGGTGAGCAGTTTGTATTGATGACATTTTAAAATACTGCACTCTTAAACTCCAACAGTGGCAAAAAACCAAGGTTGCAAAAATTATGCCAGGAGTGTTACCGTCCTGACACTAATATTTAACTATAAAGCGTAGATATACAGGCTGTAAGGTTCACCCAGCCAGGAGCTTACATATTTAACAAAGGACTTTAAAGCTAACAGCTGCTGATTAATCATGATGGGTCTAAATTACTGGCTGGCTCTCAACTGGTTATGGAGCTGGGTGCCCAGCGCATTTAAAACCTCTTCTGCATCCACTTGACAGCTGCATAGAGTTAAGTGCCATTCTTGCCTATTTAGTTGCATCTTTCTACTCCTTCACACACCAGGGATAGATTATAAATCTGTATCACACATCCAGCTTGTTTATCCATATATTTCTCAAACAAAATCAAATCAGGCATATTTGAAAGTTACTTTCATGATTTATTCCCAAATGCTGGTTGAGAAATCCAGCAGGATAATTTATGTTTTACGATTTATTTAAAAAACATTCTTGAATACTTTATACACTGCTGAAAGACTCTGAGCATTCCTTATATTATTATAATTTTTACCTTTACCTTTGCCTGACTTTGCTTTATTCTTTACAAAGCCACGACAACTTGTACATTTACTATAAGAGGGGTTTTGCTTGGTGTACCTGTGCTATAGTTAAAAGGATGCGCGTCTGTGTAAATACATGTTGAATTACTGCGACTGATCCATAAATACAAAGACAAGAGCATGCATAGAGACCCCTTTGTTTTGGGTATAATGGAAGCAAAGCAGACTTATTTTAGAACCAAGGCTGTTTTCTCTTGTATCCTTTTTCAGGACAATAATTTTGCCTTATCACTGCAACACAGTCAGAGTGGAAATTTGAATATATGTAGAATCCTTTCATGGAAAATTGTGTCTGGATCATCATATTCTCCTCCAGTTAGAATATACATTGAATCGACGTTTGGTCAGTTGGTAATCACACGTCCTTTATTAATCAACGTGTCTTTATTCAGATTAGGCGATAGGTCTTAAAACAAACACTTCTCAACACAAATCACTGCCTTCAACACAAAATAAGTTCCCTTTGATTACATCCTCACCTTAAAACAGACACGGACATGGTAGGTCTAGACAACAGATGCAAAGTTAAGTCTTTGTGGCTGATTGTCCTTAAACAGAAAGAATGTGCTTTACAAAGGATGCATAATTGATACATCCATTGGCATCCTCCTGTCCAGCCATTAATCGGTCCACTTCATCTTCTGTCATCCTCTCTCCAAGTGTTGCCAACACATGACGCAGCTCTGCTCCCATGATGGTGCCATTGCCTTCCTTGTCAAAAACCCTGAGCCCTTCTACAAAATCTTCAAAGTTGCCCTGATCTTTTGCGCGGGAGATGTGTTGAAGCATTGGCAAGAAAGTCTCAAAGTCCACCATTTTAGTGCTCATGTCCTCGGGACGTGGTTTCCCAAGCACTTTCAGCACATCTGCATTGGTGGGGTTTTGGCCAAGAGCCCGCATAACATCCCCACATTGAGCATATGTAATCTTCATTTCTCCAGTTGGAGTGCGGTCAAACAAGTTGAAGGCTTCCTTAAACTCTTCAATCTGGTCAGCTGTGTACTCAAGTGTGATACTTTTCGGGTCAAACTCAGGCTCCTTGGTTGGCTCGGGCAGTGGTTCTGGTGTTGGAGCTGGTTTGGCAGCTGGGGCAGCATCTTTCTTTGGCTCTGGCTTTTTCGGTTCCGGTTTCTTTGGCTCAATCTTCTTAGGTGGCATGTTTACAATGACTTCACAGGTGAGCAGGTACTTGCAGAGAACTGATCAAGTGTCTGAGCAGAGAAGAAAGTACTCCAAAGCACACAGGGAACCACCTCTTCCTAAGTTTTTATATCTGCTTTATCTAGGGAGTTAGATAGCAGGTTGAAACAGCACACTATTTAAGGAAGAAACCCAAAATAGATTCTCTACGCAAGTGATGTCAAGATCAAGTATTGTTCTCAGCTGCTGTCATCTGGCCGCCAGGGCTATTTGCTGTCATTAGTGAGGGTCCAGTTGCATTAGCTCGCCAAATGTTCTGACTCCCTGATAGACAAAGGGATTAGTGTATAGCCAGAGATCAGTCCATGAGGGAATAACCAAAATAACTAGTATAGGTTTCCCGGCTCTCTGAATCATTCCTTTCTTTTAATTTGAAAACAACAGCTTGTGTGTCCATTTATTTTATTCATGTCATGTTGATACATATTTTCCCATTTTTTGGAATTATATCATGTCATTGGTTCTTGGTTTTGATTACTTCTGTTTTTTCACTTTTTTTAACTTTTTCTCTAGTTTTGGTTGTTTTATGTTCAGTGGATTGGTTACCGTTTGAGCTTCCAGTATTTTGTTCTAAGTTAATCATTATTATTTTTTTGCTATGTTCTTACTCAGTTTTTCTCCACCTGTTTTTTGCTTTTGCCCCTTGTCTTTCTCACTATCAGTTCCTCAGTTTCCCAGAGAGGAAGAGATCTATGATGATCAGATACCAGGAAAAGGAAAACGAACTAACACAGATCTCATCCTATTCCTCTTCATTCAATGTGGCTCTCATATTCGCTGGTCCCTGATCTCCCCATTCTTGGATAATCTTAGTACATTGAACTTAGGGTGAACCCTTCATGAATTGTCAGTAGTTTTTTTTATTTTTTCAAATATAATCTTCTGGTTAATCTTTTATACAAGCAGTTTATCTAATGACTGGGAGAGTAAAAGCGTTGATGACCTTTCAGGACCCGTGATACCCATTGTAGGTTCTTGGTCGTGGATTAATTTTTTGCGGTATCTTCATGGTTTCCTTTTAGATGCTGGATCCTTGCTATATATCTGCTGAGGCTGATCAGTGAGTCAATGTCTGGAAAAGTCCTGGTACACTTCTTGAGGTCATAATATACAGGAGGGGGCAAATGGTGTTCCTCTTCATGTCAGGTATCCACAGCCAGTCTTTGTGAGGAGCTGGTCTCAGACAGATGTACAGGCAGATCATGTGGAAGCAGCTCATCTCTTTGGTAAATGCTGCTTTTGATGGTTGGGCACGTGGCTTGGGATTGTCTTTAAGTGTTGTACATTACAATTTCACCGAGTTATCAATGAAGTCTCTTTGTGTTCTGTTCCCAGCATTTCATTATCTGAGTTTGTGGGCCTGAGTCACAGGCTTTAATTGAAGCCAATTGAGATGGTGCACAGATTTGTACGTCTGATTTAAGAAAATTATGTGTGTGTGTGTTTGTTTCTGTAATGTACTGGCATCTCTGCAGGGTGTACCCAAAGCACCCCCCCCCCATGACCGTACTGGGAATTAGTGGTATAGACAATGGAAGGTGGATAGAGATGGCCGTGTTCATCGGTGACTGACATTTTAACATGCCAGTCATGTACCGAGGCAAGATGTTGGTTGGTAACTAGATTAAATCACCCCTTTCTGGGAATGTATCATGAACGGAATGGACTGAACTAAAGCTTGCTCATTTGACATATATGTAAAACACCTCCCTGTCAGCATCCTATGTGGTTCAGATGTGCCCATTTAAGGTTATGCCTCACAAAAATGGAACACCTTAAAAGATGAAATAGAAAACAGGGAAAGTAATTCCACAAAGTGTCTAGTTTATAAATACATAATGTCACTTGACTTCATTGGGATGACTCCTCTGTAATTCTATTCAGTGAATGATAAATTAGCCAACAAAATGTTAATTTCATTTATGGAAGTGAGTGCATATAGGATGTGCAGCTCTGTGACACAATTTTAATCAGAGCAACTTTAATTTTATGCATGTTTCACAGTTTATCAACTCTGTTTTAAAAAAAGCTAAAGCCTGTCATGCGATAATCACATTTACCCTTCACTGTCTTCCTGCCAGTCCCTCTTGATCCGTCAGTCTAGAGCCTGAAGTCCTTGGGTAGAGTAGTTTATGTGTGCACGCATGTGTGTGGGACTGTGTGTCAGAAAAGCCGTCCTTAGCCTAAGATCATTATCTCCTCTTTCTTTGCTTTTGAGGTCACATGGCTAGTAAAAGTGACAGCTAATTTGTAGTCTTTCGCCGTGTACGTGCCTGCTGGCATGGGAACATTCATGCCTCAGAGAAACAAAAAAGTGTCAAAGTGTCTCTTGTCTGTATATGGTTCTGGTTGAATGGGCCATAGAAGGATAGGTCTATTCTCATTGTCATCAACAGTTTTCAGACAAGAGAAGTACATGGTTAGCCCAATAAATACCACCATTCAACATCTGTGGTCAAAACAATAGGCACTTTCTCAGGTCTTTAAACCCTGTCAAAAAGTAATTCATATCAACGCTTTACCATCACAAATTACATATGACTAATGATTCATTATGATGCTTGTATTTGATCTACTTTAATCTTTTTCATTTAGTTTGTAAAAAATGTGATACTAGTTATGACTACAGAAGATAATGAATATTACTTTGTACCTTTTATGGAAAAAGATTAACTTGAATCCACCTCCTAGAGATAAAACAGTGTTAAAAAGTATATTTGTAGGTGTAATCCATAATCCATATAGTGTTCTTTTAGTTCAGTTTATGACATACTCTGATGGGTATGCCTTGAAACTATTAAACTATTGAGCAGCAAGTATCCATTTATCAGAAGCCTGTCAACATCATCATATACTCATGGGTTGGGAATAATTCCGGAATATGATTCATATACATGATATAAATGTGCCCGTTGGCACATTCAAATCAGCTCAATATAAAGTTAAATCTTAAATTAGTCATGAAACATTGGTAATTTAATCTGTGGTTGTCTGGATTGTGGTGGTGCGTTTAACCAGCCATGACTGTACTGAAATTTTGATTGACTCCTCATGCAACAATAATGCAATTAAACAATTATTTACCAATTTGTTATATTCATGTGTAATATTTTTGCGATAACATTTTACGAAAAAAACTGTGATGTCCTATTCATCGTCTCTTGTGTGTTACAAGTCAGTCTTTACCTTATAAAAAGATAAAAATAAATAATCTTACTCCTGACAGTCTTTTGAATTACCAAGGGACAAACTTTTTAAAAGTTAAGTATAACTGATTGGGGATAGCCCATTTCACCCCAACAGCCTTCGCCTACTGAAGGAAAATATACTGAGCAGTGTGTGCGTGTATGCCTATTTTTGTTGAGTGTTTGTTTGTATGTGCGCAATCACAAGAGAGGATGGTCAAAGGCTGCAAGTCCTTAATCCTTGAGATAACACCAGGAATGGGAACCGGCAGACCACTGGTCTGGTCAGGGCTAATAAAAGAGAGTGATAGAGACAGCAGCTACATTCTTTGTACGGCCCTGGCAGGGAGTGACTCTCACTTTAAAGACCTGTGTTTAGTTAACTGGCTAAAATAGGAAGCAGAATTAAGTCCTTTCCTCTGTCTGAAGTGTCAGTTACACTGTCCCACCTGTACCAAATCCAGACAATTGTATTTGTCCCATGAAGGGCCAGCTGCTTTCTTTCAATATTCAAATCTTGGTGAAATAAAAAGCTTAATCAATTCAATGAAAATAGCAGGTAGCTAAAGGGATACGACTTTGTGATGACAGTGAACTATTTAATGCCTAAAGATAAATGCCTAATGCAAAGCAATATCCAAAGAGCACTTGTTTGAATTAGCTAATCTAAAATAGGAATTCATTTGTTGTATGCTGCCCTACGAAATGTAATGAGCAGCAAAGAAAACTTTTCATTTCATCCCAGTTGAATAACATTGTGTTGTAAAAGTGGAATGACTGTTGGAGGAACCAGCTTGCAGACATCTGTGTAAACAATTTAATTAAGACCATGTTTGATAAATTAGAGCTGGTGAAAGCACTGCCTGTTCTAATACTTCAGTTCCTTAATTACACCAGACACCCATGTGTTCATTCTCTTTGCCCATCTCAAACTACCCCCCCATCCCCCACCCCCCATTTACAATAATAGAAATTGAAAAACTACAAAAGGGAAAGTGCATTTCACACTCTACTGAAGCAAAGCAAGCAATTTTGAATTAATCAAAACACAATAAGTTTACAACATGATAAAGAGGTGCTTTGTATGAAATTGGGGGAACGTTGAATGGAACTTATAAGAACTTGTATTCAGAACACATTTTGGGTGAGAATTATTTTAATATCTCCAATGATAATTGAAAAAAAAACATAAACATGGACACAATTGATAAAAAGTGCAAATTTGTTACCTTGGTGATGAAATGCACATATGCTCATTGGTCACAGCACTATAGCACATACATATATGTGAGAAAGTCCTCAAGGGAACAGAATTTAATCTTTGATACAGACAGCTATATATAGAAGCGACCTTTGTCATTTAACAATGAAAAAAGTTGCACATCAGTTAAGCCAAGCTGTGAATGTCAGCACTCATGGTAACAATAGCACTGACTCAAACAAGTTAGTATTATTTACATGTAAGAGTCAGACAGTCATTGTATCTCAAGTCCTTTTGAAAAAAAAATAGAACCAGTATTGGTTTTCTTTTTGTTTTTAATCTAATTTGAACTCACATCCCTACCTTTATTTATTTTTGTTTCTTGAAAACACACAATTTTTTTTCTATGTATCGAAAGCATACAAAGTAGTGACAGTAAATTATTACTGAATGCTGAGAATGGAATGTAAAAAAAAAATCAGTTAGTTTTATGTTAATTTCACCTGTCTTCAAAGTTTACACAAAAGTACTGATGATACGGATCACAGTTTTCATCCTTTTATTTAGGAAGG